CGGCCGGCTGAATTGCAAGCATCGGCTAGTAAAGAAAAAAAATTAAGCCTGCATGCTGGTACACAGCTCAGGACTGATGGGCTCAAGAAAATCTTATGGCGGGTTATTTCTGGCCCTTAGGCCTTGTTATTGACATGCTGTATGTGCTTTAGACGATAATGGATGCTAGTACCACAGATAATGTTGTATTCCACTGGCCTTTTTTGACTGGTACTCTTATTGGTCTTACAATATCATATTTGCTAAAAAGACTCAGCCACAGATTAATAATGTAAAAACATCTTATAAAAATACAGAGGACTATCACAAAAAATAATTGAAGACCAGGACTGTTTAGTTCGCAAGCACACTGCTTAGTGCCTGTTAAATATATTTATAATTTTCAGAACTTCAAAATGTTTTGCCTATTGTTACAAAGTATTTTGATATGTCATTAGAAGAGCCTAATCGGCACTGTCATACCATTCTCTAGATGTCAGAACAAATCAACTTTCTGCTAAAATATATTCATAGTTGTGCACAGCCCTGTCCATTTCGTTTTCATACTGTATGTCATATCTATACCTTTTTTACCCAGCAGCTGTTTTCGGTGCCAGTTGTAATATACTGTATAGCAGAAGGGATATTTATCAGTGACATACACTGGTGCCTATATTATATATATATATATATATATATATATGTAAATTTTGTAGTATTGTGTGGCAATCCACGTTAGAACTGGGTGTTGCAGTCACCCAGGATTCTCAGCCAGAGGGGCTGAGCGGTTCCAGGAATCAAGTTATTTTACTGGGAAAGAACTGACTTTGCAGTTCTTCCCAGGTTTTCTGGATTTGGCATGGGATCCTGGAACTGGGAGATTTCTAAGAGAATTGGGAGGGATGAAATCTCCATTCCTGGGTCCGTGGTTTAGTAGTGGCCAGCACCTAATGATTGCACACCTGTGCACAGCCCATATGGAAACGGTACTGGCTAATGTTTGGGGCTCCAGCTGGGAAGAGGAACAGAGGTGATCAGGAGTCAGTAGGACTCCACCCAGAAGTCAGAGGGGGGCCAGGTGGCTGTGTGTGCTGGAGGCACATGGATGACAGCCAAGGAGGCTTGGAGAGCCAGTGACACACAAGGGATGTGTGTAAGAGCCACACAGGAGGCGTGGAAGCTATTGAGAGATACTAACCAGTATTGAGTATGGCTGTGGGCTGTGGCTCCATTGAGAAAAACCCTTTTGTTCAGGGACTGGGACACATGGAGCAACAACCTGGAGTCGGAGAGAGTATGTAATATGTTGTATTTGCTGAAATTCAAGCAGACCTTCTATTATTACTGAAGAAAGCTGTGTTTCTGTTATAAAAGAAATAAACGACTGTACTGTTTTATGGCTTCGAGATTGGCCTTTGAGCGCTCACCATTTGTACTAACTTCCCCAAACATCACAATAAACTGTGTGTATGTATATA